CCCTGAGGCGGCCCCAAAGTTCCTCCGTACCTTTTGCTGCCACTCGAGCAGCTGCGTGATCTTAGGCAAGACAGGGACTCGGACGGTGTCTGACTCCTTGATAGGAGTAGTAGTATTGACCGAAACCGCAGACAATGGTTGTGAGGGTATCGGTACACCGTCAGTAGTCGGTTCTGTGCGCACAGGAGACACATGGCGTGTCTGTGCTGAAGCTGCCGCGGAGGCTGCTCCTGGTGACGTACGTCGCTGTTGTCCTGCAGAAGCTTGTGGTGCTTCGGCGGACGCTGCCGTCGGCCTGTGCAGGTCGGTTGCAGGTTGAAGGTGAAGCATGGTGTCGTTGGTGTGGTCAATCAGCTGATTTGTCCAGCTCGTCATGTCTTCGTGTATCTGGTCCACCTTTTGGCGTGTGTACTCATCAGTGTCCCGAGAACGCTGTGAATACCGATCGAGTCGTTGCTCGTGGGCTCGGAGACGGGCGCCTTGTGCCTCCAGCTCACTTTCCAGACGTGCGAGGTGCCCCTCAACACGTACCTTCTCAGTATCTCTCTCACGAATAACCTGGGAGAGCTCCAACTGCGCGTGGTCCGCCGCCATGTCAACCTCCTGCAACCTGTCAGTGAGGCGGGCGAAATCGTAAACCGTGGGAAGAGAATCCAGCTGGCCAGTCTGGGCTCGTCCGACACGCAACTATGCCAGGGCGTCCTGTACGCCAGGAAAACGCTGCTCGATTTCAGAGATCCGGTTAGCGAGTGGCTGCACGACAGCGCTGGTCGCATCAAGCCTTTGAGCGATGACTCTCTCAGTGCGTCGCAACATGTCGATCAGGTTCGACGAGTTGGTGTGTGCTTCGCTGCGAAGCGTCGCCGTAGTGCGGTCCATGTTGGATCGAAGATCATTGATCTGAGACCGAACGTCGCCAAGGTCGGTGGCCTCGGCTGGTGGTGGCCGGTTGCGGAGTTGGTCATGGATCTCGTCGTGGAGGATCCTGACTGCTGAAACGCCAGTGTCGCGTACGAAAACAAGCTGTTGCTCCATCTGCGCGAGATAGTTGCGCAGGTTCTCGACCATCGCCGTTCGTTCACCTGAGTGTGACACCTCACGATAAACCTGGCACTGCAACTCACCTATGATGCGTCGATCTTCGGCGATCCTGGAATCTATGATCCCTAAGGCGCCGTCAAGATCTTGGCGTATGGCAGCAGTGCTGGCAGCGTTCGTCTGAACGCTCTGCAGTAGTCCAGAATATTGCCTGGACACGAAGGTTGCAACCTGGACTCTGAGCTCAACTATTTCACCTGCAGCGGACGTTGCCGCCAGCGGGTCGTCTGATATGGAGAGTTGGGGAGCGTCGGCTTCCCCCTGCCCCCTCTCGCGAGGAGTGCTTGGCCTCTGAGAGGCTGTGCGCGGGCTCGACCTACTCTCGCCGCATGGGCCTGGGGCCCCACGACGGTTGCGCGCGGACGAGCTGCGGCTAGGACCGTGTGTGTGTGGTGTCTCATCCGATGATACCTTGGGGTGCTGCGTCTGCGGCTGCGCCGCCACTGGCCTACTGAGTTCCTCGAAGGTGGCTACGTGCTCCGCGACAGGAACGGTCGCAGGGCTGGGGGTACCAGCACCTGAAGTCCATCGGCGGTTAGCGCGAAAGCGCCCTGGAGTATCAGGACCAGTGAGGCCTTCGCCTGACGCAGTTGGGATTGCCCCCGACGGAGGAAGAGACGGAGGATCGAAGGCAGGCGCGTGCAACTCCTTACTACCTGCTCCTACTCCTTCTCCTGTCACCCCGCGGGCGGCGTTGCGGTGAAGTTCAGCAGATAGCCGCGCCTCGGGTCCGTCGGAGCTGGGGGGGGGGGGGGTACCTGGGACATCAACACAGTCCGCACTAAGGCTCTCCAACTCGTCACCGAGCCGTCGCGCCGTCGGAGAGCTCGGACGCGAGGCCCCGATGGACCCCTTACGGCGCATGCGCCGCTTGGGTTCCATCGAGGCCGCGTGCGAGATCGCGACGCGGGGTTTGATGAACAGTGAACTTTAAAGGGCTGATAACCTGTGTATGGGGTTGAAGTACAAGGGTACAGAACCCCTGATCCGTTGGTAGAGGGAAGGAGGGAGAGATGGATGTCTTTCCCTCCTGCACGATCAAAGGTCTGATCGATATGTCCCAATACCTGAGCCCAAACGGCCAGGCGCAGGAGAGGTGAGGATAAAGAGTATATATGAGGGTATTACACGGGTTCTATTCACAAGAAGAGGCGGCAGAGGAGGACCTCTGATAGCCTCCAAGATGGGGTCCGAGTAGATGGGTCGGAGGATCTCACCGCATCGCCGATGCATCGCCGATGCATCGGCGCCGTCGGCGAGGAGACCATCGGGCTCCGCATCGAACCGCATCGCTGATGCATCGGCGATGCGGCGCGATCCTCCGACCCCATCTACTCGGACCCCATCGGGGGGAAGCCTAGAAGAGAGGGGAGGGAGGAAGAGGCGGCAGAGGACCTCTGAGGAACCGCCCACCAGTCTTAGGTCGGGCGTGTCCTCCTACAGGTGGATTTGGAACGAAATATTGAAGGTAAAACAACATCGTCCCCCGACTATTTTTCGACGATCTTTGAATTTTCCTCCTGTAGAGGGACAGGCCCGACTCACCACCAGTCTCACAAAAACGCCCCGCTGGGCGCGCGACAAGACCTGCCCAGGACGGGCGACCCGCGGAATGTGTGGCGGGGGCCCGCCCCTCGGCGACCGGGCTCTCCGCGAGAGCAGCTGGCGACGGGCGGCATGTCGAGGGAGAGGGGCGGAGAGGGCCCTGACCCTCCAGAGAGCTATTTTTTAACACGGGAGGCCTAACAATCTAAAAGACGAAACGAAACAGCCTGAAACCAAGACACAGAATTGCTCTGGGATAGGTTTTTAAAGTCGCGTGCTATTTTGTTGGCCCTCCTGGAAGGTCAGGGGGAGGAGGCAGAGGGTGGAGGACGGAACATCGATGATGAACAGCAGAGGCCTCCTATAGATAGGGTCCGAGCAGATGGGGCCGGAGGATCGCGCCGCACCGCCGATGCATCGGCGGTGCATCGGCGACGCATCGGCGACGCATCGGTGACCTCGGCGTGGAGAAAAGCGGGCTCCGCATCGAGCCGCATCGGTGATGCAAGGGCGACGCGGCGCGATCCTCCGACCCCATCTACTCGGACCCCATCTAGGAGGCCCAGAGGCAGGTGGAGGATGGAACATCGATGATGAACATGTCTGTTTACAAGCGCGCCGAATTGGCACGAGAAAGAGACGGGCCCCGATGGAAATGGGTCCTGGACCCTGGGGCCTTCTCCCATGACGCACTTCTCATCCTGAATTCGTTCTCTGACGGTCCTGGTGCCTGTGAAGGGCCCCGGGAGGCCCCAAACGGAGAACATCTCAGGACCCAGTTCCCGTAGGACCCGCTTCCCTTGAGGGGCAACGGCAGGGTGGACTGTCCCAGGGGGGGGGGGAAACATCGACCTTGACTCGGCGATACGTCGCCGATTGATCGGCGATAAGCCTCTAGTAACGAATCCGCGCAACTCTGGGCGAGGCGGGCTATCGGGCTCCCATCGACGATGAATGGGTGATCGGGGTCGACGCATCCCCCGCTGAGCCTACTCCCGCTGACGTAGCTCCTGAGAAGCGTGGCTGGAACTCGTAGCTCGGAATCCCGAGGCGGCCGACACTCCCTCCAAAGCGACAAGCAGGCCTGAGCCAGATGGGCTCGCGGAATCGGGTCGGATCGGAATCGGATCGCAATCGGATCGTCCGAATCGAGTCGACATCGGATCGCCGCGCTGGGCTCCGTGACGGCGCTGATGCCGGTGAACCGGGCCGAATCGACTCGGAACCGTGGTCCGAGCCCGCGAATCGAATCGCGTCGTCCTCCTCATTGACCCTCCTCATCGCAACCTCGGCCCTCGATCCTCCTCGGCCCACGAGCATCGGTGCGTCCCCGACATCCCCGCGACGCGAAACAAGTCACGACGGAGGGTTGCAGGCATTTTATGGCCTTTTGGGGCCCTCACAGGGCCCCAGGACTGTCTGAACACGACTCGGGATGAAGAGCCAGTTCTCAGACTGGAGAGCCACGCCGTGGAAAACAAAAGCATGACGTCGGATGTGCCAAATTACAGCCAAAACGCATAATAAGGATGCGCGGTAAGGATGCAAGGGCCTTGAGCGGCCATGTTGACGTTTTCCGAACGGAGTTGTCCAGCGAAAGTTGTCAAGGATGGACCGACGGGGCACGGATGTAACCCTGGAAAGTTGCTCATCCTTACTGTGCGCATTGACCATATGAGCTGCCCCCTCCGCCAATGAAAGGACGTGGGACCTCGGCGGGCGGGTGGATGTGGATATGCTTGGCCCCCCCCAGGGCCCAAGCATGTCCATCAACCGCCCGCGGAAGCCCCCGATAGCCGATGCCACAGGGGGTGGTCGCTTCGGAGCAACGCGCACCTGGGCGACTGAGGAGGGACGTCGGTAGGTCTCTAACAAGATATCCGATCTGAGGGCTCGGCCTTTCAAGGTACTGGCAAGCGCATCCCACTTCAAACGAATAAATCGGCAGGGCATTCGGATATCATACCAAATTCCACCAATGATTCAGGATCTACACTGGCAAATCCCTCGGGTCGGATCTCTTGTCGGGGCTCGCATTAGGGGGGGGGACCGGCTCGACCACTTCCCCGAGACCGGCTTTTCGTCCCGAGTCGTCTTTTGACGCTCACGAGGCCCGGCTAGGGCCCCTATGGAGGCCGAAACCTGCCAAATCCCGCCGCTCCAAGTTCTGTTGGAGCGTCGGGTCTCAGGGGGGGCCACATGCGAACCCTACCCCTACCCACCACGATTTCCGAGGGGGAGGGTGGGGTTCACTTCGTTCGGGAGCTCCCGAGCGAAGTGAACCCCACCCTCCCCTCAAAAATCTTGGGGGGTAGGGGTAGGGTTCACATGTGGCCCCCTAAGGGAAGGACCCGCTCCTGCTTCAGCTCCCAACTCTCCGACACGGGCGCCTCTGGCAGCACGTACGTGCCGCGCCGGGGCGGCGGCAGGGGCGCGCCCACAGCGGCGGTCTCGGCGGCTGCCCTGGCGGCCTCGGGGGCGAGGAGCCCGGAGAGCCACGCCGCGGAAGAAGAGCACGACGTCGGATATAAGTAATGGGCTCTCCCCTCCCCCTCATGCTTCCGGACCTTCCGCCCTACCCCCCCGCGCCTTCTGCCGACGTGATCCGTGCGGGTCTTCTGGAGCCGCGCAACATTTCCCTGCACCTCGAAGACTTCTTCCGCACCTTCCGCCGAGGTCGGAAGCTATGGAAGGTGGAGGTCGAGGGTACTCCACTCCACTCCAATCAGAAGACGGAACTGCGAGGAGGAGGAGGAGGAGGAGGAGGGGGAGGAGGAGGAGGAAGAGGGGGAGGGGGAGGAGGAGGAGGAGGAGGAGGAGGAGGAGGAGGAGGAGGAGGAGGAAGAGGAGGCGGGACCTCGGCGGGCGCGCGGATGCGGATATGCCTTTCCACAGCCCGCCGAGGCCCCCGAGGGTCGATCCCACAAGGGGTGGCGGGCGGCGGCGGCGGCCTCCGAGACGACGGCGCCGCCGTCGACGCTGCGTCGCCGACGCCGTCGACGCTGTCGTCGTCGTCGTCGTCGTCGTCGTCGTCGTCGTCGTCGCTCCTGCTCGTTCCTCCGCTCCGCGGCTCCGTGGCCTCGGGCGGCGCTGGCGCCTCGGGCAAGGGCCGCCCCGGCAGGGCCGCGGCTTGTCTATTCGCAGGACGGCTGCCTCTTCCTGAAGGGCTGCCGGCTTCGGGATGGCACTGCGTGGACGTTCTGGGCCGTGCTGCCCCACCGTTCTATGGATGCAGCGCGTCCGAAGAGGTGGCCTCGCAGCTCAGCGCCCAGTCCCTGGCAGGCGCCAAGGATCTGGAGTCCCGAAACGGTGCGGTGACAGACCGTGCGGTGACCTCGAAATCCCCCAAACCTCACCGCACGGTCCGTCAACGCACGGTTTTGTGACCCTGGAGGCCCCTGTCGCCCGAGACATCCTCGGAGAGGGACTCGAGTCCCAAAACCGTGCGGTGACCCCGAATCCCCACCGACTCGCCACACGGTGCGGTCCCCACACCGTTTGGGGGCCCCCGAAAAGAGCGGTTCAACGTTCGCGGGGGTCTCCGGAGCGAGAATGGTTTCACGACAGGGTGCATTGTGGAGGTAAGCGCGGCGCCCCTCACTGCCAACGCCCCGTAACGACTCTGCGACTTTGCCGCGGTCTCTCGGCGGTGCGTGCGGACATCGTACATCCCGTGCCAATGGGCCACGTGGTTGAGGATCCCCTAGTGGACTTGGCACTCCAAGGGGTTATTCAGAGCATCGTCGGCGCCAGCCGAATAGTCCTGCTGGTGCGCGGCACGAGCACTACTAAACTGGAGCCGCTGAGCGAGGAGAAGGAACTGGCCGAGCAGACGCACAAGGTGTCGTCTACAAGCGCGGTTTGCCTTTCGAGCGACCCACCTGCGACTTTGCATGTGGTGGGCTACCGTGATTTCGGTGGGATGCTAACGTGTCGCTTGGACAACGCATAGGCTCTCGCTCTCGCGTCGGCCACCGCGTACAAGACACCAGGCTCTGCCAGAAAGAAGGAAGCCCCGACTGCTGCACTCGAACACATGACGAACATGTCCAAGGACGAAGCGGCCTCGCTGATGCGCAGCCTGGCGGCGGAGAGGCAGGCCGTCCTGTGAGGAAAAAGAACCACAGGAGGAGGAGGAGGAGGAGGACTTTCCAGGACTTCCCCAATCTGACAGGGTCAGAACGGCAAGATGGCCTCGCCGAGAGCGAGGACGCGAAGCGGGGAAGCCCGCCACCCCTGCCGCACGTGCTCGGTGGAGCCACCAGGGCCAGAACCCACCTAGCAGACGCAGCAGGAGGGACGGGGCCCCGTTTGGCGCCCTTCCGGGGCCGCCCTATCCGAGAGGGCGGCCTTCCATCACACGTGAAATCACCCAGGCCCCCATCTTGGTGGGGGGCTGACCGTTCTGACACTTACACTCCTCCGCAAGGCCTCTCAGATGGCCTCTCCCTCTTAGAGCTCTACACCCGCATGCCGTACACACCCAATAAGGTTCAAGATAAGCTAGGCAATGGGACGGGTGACCAACTCGCGTTCCCATCGCCAATTGCTGGGCTTGGGCTTGTCTGGGCAGCTCTAAAGGGGGCCCAAGGCACTCGGAGGTCAACCAAACATCTAAATCTCTGCTACTGGCTATCTTACTGAGCGACGTGTTGCAACAATTACAGGACCACCTAGATTTCATATCAGTTAAAATGTGTGTGGTCTTGGCTTGGGCTTGGGCGAGGGCATTGGGCTTAGATCTACGTTGAGCCCTTCTTACCTGTCTCACCGTGGGGCCCGAAACTTCATTCTCACAAGCAAAAAGAGTGGCTCTTAAAATACGTTTTCTAATCAAACAACCTGTGGCGACGGCCCATTTATAACAACTCAAACGTGCTTCTGGGATGCTATGCTCATCCGCCGCCCTCCCAGCTAGTTCATCAGCAACTGCGTTCCCCCTCCAAGCTGCGGTGGGGGCTCCCCTGGCCTCGGCCTCGGCGGACGACTGGTGGCTGTGCATGAAGTGTACCTGCACCTCGCCTGGGCCGCGCTCCTGGGGCGCGCTGGCGAGCTGCTCCCACAGGTCGCCGTGCACACTCCACCCTCCAGGGCTGTGCTGGCGACCACGGTGCCAGCCCTTGAAGAGTACCTCCGAGTCGGTCCAGAAGTCGATCGGCCCCGCCGTGTGGCGGAGGGCGGACAGCAGCGCCGTGATCTCGGCGCGGTTGTTCGTCTGCCTGGACCCCGCCAGTGGGCGCTGGCCTCCTCCTCTGACCTCTGGCGCCGACGGGTTGGACGTGTTCAGTGCCACCCACGCCCAGCCGCAGCGCCTATATCTGTCATCTTCAGCGTTCTCGCCTCCGCTGCCGTCTCCGCAGACCGTCATGGGCCCGTCAGTGGCAACTATGCGGTGCATGTTCAAGGCCTCGCCGAAGAGCTCCTCCGTGTAGACTGTGTCACACTCTGGTGGCGTAGTCCAACTTCTGGGCGGGATACCTCTCAACCACATGCACGGGTTGTGTTGGCCTGCCTCGGCCATGACTAGCAGCGTCTGCGACTTCTCAAAGTCTGGGTGATCAGGTCGGGCACTGCAGTCTTCCCAAATACGATGAAACTCGTCAGCTCTTTTGCCGCATGCACACAAGCCGTTGCCTGCATGCTCCTCGCCAAAGAGGTATGCCTTTCTCGCTGGGGTCCAAGTCCCAACAGTCATGGCCGTCAACAGAGCATTTGCTTCGGGCAGTCGGTTGGATCTCCTCAGTCTTTTCAAAGTCCGTCTCGCGTCTGAAACGTCGATCCCATTCTCCATTCCTTTAGCGTTATACCCACGTGCTGCAGCTTTCCAGAGTTGTGCCTCGCTATCAGCGACAATGGCGTCGATGATGGTGGCTGGATTCTTATCTGCAGCTTCTGGCTTCATTTCCCAATCATAGCCTCGAGGGTCTGTCCATAATGTAGCTGTCACAGGGTCCCAACCAGCTTCCCAATGGGTAAGGATCAAAGAACCGATAGCTCCTCTTCGTTGCCTCCATCTGTGTTGTGGCGGGGATCTCTTGAGACGCCCATAGATTCTAGACCAAACGTGTGAAATCAACTCTCGAAGGTCCGCTCGATGTGCATAGAGGTCGAACCAAGCTCGAAGCTGCGCCCTAGGAAGTTCTAGGGCGGGGTCCTTGCCTTCCAGTTTGAGAAATGTCGTGGTGCATCTGCCTGGCCTTGGAGCAGCCAGAGCAGCAACGTACCTCTGACGAGCGCGGCGCATTGCAGCAAGCGCCTCTCCTTGGGCCGTGACGCCGTACATCGAGGCGGGCATGGATCCCTGGTTCAGCATTGTCATTCTCTTTTCACGTCGGAGTCGCCGTAGCTTTTTCCCCAGCGGTGTCATGCGATTGCATGCTTTTACTCTTCGGCCCGTGCGTGTCGCTCTTCGTCGGGCACCTTTCGCCGCCCTGTCGATGCCCAGGTCACGGGCCTCCTGATCAGCTCTGTTGTCGATGCCTTTCCTCTTGAGCCTTGCCGTGATCCTCTTGGTCATGGCCCAATCGGACGAGATGATCACGCTCTTGTCTGCCAGCTCCAATCCCTCATCGCTGAGGGCTCTCTCCAACTTGTCCGTGGCGTTCACAATGATGTTCTCCACCGCTGTGGCACTGCCGTAGACCGCGGTGCTCGCGTCGTCGAACCACGCCCCCGGGTGGGCGCGCGGGTCCTGGAGGGTAACCTTGCCCAGCGCCCTGTAGACCACCGCTCTCGCAAGATTTGTTCGCGCGCCTGGAACCCGCTAGCAGCGAGATCAAGGCCTGACGTGGATTGCCGTAAGCCCCCTCTTGGCGAAGGAGCCTCGGCACTGCGTGAACTTGGAGCTCTAGTGCAAGAACTCGCTGTGGGAAACGCAGGTCCTCGCACGCCGTCGCCACCGTCGGCATCGCCAGCTTGTCATAGAACCTGCTGGTGTCCACCAGTGAGACCGCCGACGCCATGGCCAGGGCGTCCGCCGCCTCATCCTGCAGCGCCCTCGCGAGCGCCTCGCGGAGGCAGGGCGAGCCCTTGAGCGCCGAGTCCCAGTGGCGCGCGGCCTCGGCGACCCACTGCTCCACCTGCGGCCGCGTCAGCATCTGCCAACACCTGATGAGCCAAGCAATCAGCGCCAAGGCCCTGTCACCCGACTTCTTGGGCTCTAGCATGACGATGGCCTGGGGCAGCTGGAATGGCCAGGCCTGTCGCTGCCCAACCAGATTAATCAAATCGACAAACTGCTGGCGCGCCGCCGCAGGCAGACGCCGCACATCGGATGCAACTAAACGGTCGACGCCGCGGCCCCTGTCGGGCTGCAGGCGAAGGGCCTGGTCAAGCTGGTCTAGCGACCAGACGGGGCAAGGCCCCTGCTGAGCCCGCTCCCTGACTCGAGCCAAGGTGGCTACGGAGTCGTGAGACGAGACCGATTTCGAGGTCCAAGTCTCTTGAAAAAAACGCTGGTTTTTATACCAAT